TGTTTAGCGTGGTTTTTGTGTTGTGTGCGTGGAACATTTCGGTATACTGTATAAGGAGGCGCTATGAATGTTCACTCGGACTACGAAGTCAAAAATTTTTGCGAAGTTTTCCGATATTTCCCGATGGAACGATTTACCCCCGTGTGATGATATGACCATGTTTGCTCAGTTTGATAAAAATGTGCTCGTTGAACATTTAGATCCTTTCATTTCGAAACCTTCCACTCATAATGCATCATTATTCAAAAAGCTATACGATATGTTTACGAAGAACCAAGCTGAACTGAATAAGTAAGTTGTCATACTCATAACTCGCGCTCAACGAGGCATAAATAGCCGGAACTCTTGAGTGAAAAAAAATCAAGATTATGAAAACGCATTCCGCAACAGGATTCCCAGATGTTTCACGGGACTACGGGCAGTTGCAGGCATTTAAAACTCAAATCCATCTCGCAACGATGAAAATAACTCCAATCAGCAAGATTACCTGTCTTGCAGCACCGCGAGATTTTTCAACTGCCGCCGGAGCTCGTTAATCTGCAGTACACAACAGACGAGGGAGGTTAAATGTCACGAGTTATCCAATCGCAATTCTGTAAAGCGTTTGCATTCACCTGTTTGAGGATCTGGTTCGCCTTTTCCACCGATTCAGTCCCGTTCTCCGCTACGTCGGACTCTTGTACTTCGAGAGCGTTCATTAAAGCTTGAAGGTCGACCTCAAACGTTTCCTTGAGAAACCTAGAAAAAGAGTAGATCCACGTAACTGTTAAACCGAGGTTACTTCTATTGCCACGAGTAGCACATGCCATACTCGGGCGGTTAATTAGTGAACTCACTGCAATACAGCTTCAGAGCGTTGATTCATTATGATGACTTTATCTCGCTCTTGTTTGCGGGTCGGAAACGTCTTCAGCTTCTCCTGATACATAAAATGAATTTTTAGGTAGTACTGAACAGTATTTGGAGCGAAACTCTCGCACAACAAAATACACACATTGAATTAGCCCGCGAATCAAATATTGGACAAGTCCTATGCCGCCCTTGGAAAATTAATCCCAAAAATATTCAATCCTGAATTGACGAATTCCTCACAGTATCTCATTCTTCATAATCTTACGTAAACATTTTCACCACAGATCAGCAACGCTTTGACAATTTTCTACCTATAAGTCGTCTCAAGTGCGCGTTATACATTTTTGTACTGTATTACTTATCCCCGAGATACGGTCCACCCTATAATTCCATACAAAACCCTTTTCAATTTGGTGGGAGGGGGCGATATTGGAATAAAAATGAGACGCGAGATGAACCGATAAGACGCTTACCTCGTAAAGCGTTTGACGATCTGGCACAACCACGTCAGCATTAGCATCATACGGAAACTTGGACACATCGATTGGCCAAATTTCGGGATTTTCTCCAACTGGAATTTCAACCACTCGGTGAATTGCGGTGATCATTCAATACAGTATTGTACTAATATTTACCCAAAAATTTTCTAAAAAACTCGAATCGTTCTGCTGCAACTTTTTCTCTCCAATTCTTGAGAACTTGGGTGTCCCTGCAAAGGCAGTCGTTAAAACTTGATATACTGTACTGTTTTTGTTCAACACTCGACGAAATTACTTGTCATGTTGGACGTATGCATTTCGGAAATTCCCTGATAAAAATTGGTTACCTCATCAAGCTCAAAAAGTCTTGCAATCGGTAAACCAAAGATTTAAAATAGGAATCCTTCGGAACAAATTTCAGGTTTTGAAAATTTGTAATGAAAAATGTAATTACCCAAAATGCCAATTTCTCGTACAAATACGGAGCATTTTTCGAAGTAGGATTATTTTACATTGCTGTCACAATGCAATTTTGGCCTTCATTCCCAACATTTTACGGCAGGAAAATTCATAAATGTTACCTCAGTCACTAACATCACCGATGACCGAACAATACAACCTGAAGATGTAAGGAGAAGTATTTCTGATTCTCGGTATTTCCCAGCAGTTCCAGCATTTCTTATAAAATTGCTCTGAAGGTCATTTGAATATAATTTGAAAGGATAGATGAAATTCAATGCAGTTCGCCAGGTGCGGCTAAAAATCTGGACAAGATGAATGAACTGTAAATTTGAGTGTAATTTGGTCGAAAAATCGACGTAATTCACCTGGCATCAAATTCTAAATTTAATATTTTTTTTTGCGTCGGGGACAATTAACCTCAGAAGAAGTGAAAGAACCGGAAATCGGATAAAAAGAAAAGAAAGCTGATTCTGACCTCATTTTCTGCAGTTGCCTCTCTATTTTCTCCGCATTCCTCCGTCTTTCAGCTATCTCCACGTCCCTCAAGTGATTGTTGTGCAAATCTTGCTCGTTCGGAAGCATATAACTGTAATCACAAGTGAAATGGCATCTTTTTTCCAAGCTTGTACGGTTTCCATGCTAACCCAGGTTTTGCTGACGTCTGATTTTCTGCCACAGCTCGGAGCCAGAAGTCGAGGGATTCCATGCTTGAACGCTTCCAACGGTTTGTTCGGCTGAAGCGAGAACTCTTTTCATAATAAAAATAAGCGCATACAACGAATTTAAGCATTTTATTCAATGTTCAGGAATCAACTGCACGAATATTTTTCAACGAAGGTGAGCCTAACGAATGATCGGAGAATTCTTACTGGAAAAATCGAGCATTCAAATCCAAAAACCCGAACAAATCACCTTTTCGCAATGCACCCCAGTGCGTTTTGTCATGGACCTCGTTGAATCCTTTTCGGAAACAGAACTGGACGCCTTTTCGTCGGCTTCTCTGTCACAATTACTAGAAAATGTGGAAAAATACTTTTCCACTGCTTTCCAACCCTTTGCAACCACGTCGAGAGGCGGGGATTCCCACGGGTTCTGAGACATCGTAACCTGACGCAACGATGGGATGTCACCTACGGTATGACGAGCGTAATTTGTGATTTCCAAAAAAGAAATCTCATGTATTCAGAGCAGTTTATTCCAGAATTGCTCACAGATTTCATGAGGGAGATGCGAGATCAAATTCCCGTCTAGCAGCAACACTTCGATAGAATTGTGATGTCCAATTTCAGAAGGAATGTGACGAAGCTTGTTAAACCTGACGTCGAGCCACTTGAGACAAGGCAGCATGAAGAACAATGACGGCGGCAGATCCTTCAACTGGTTCTGATTCAAATGGACGTGCTTCGCAACAAAAAAAGCGGAAAATTACTTTCAATGCTCAATGCTATCACAACTAAGCCCCGGATACATCAACGAACATGAATTTCGATGGGCTAGAAAGCATAAGACGAACAATCAGAAAACCCAGGGATTCAAGGATCTTTCACTTTTGAAGCAATTCAGTGACTAATATAAATCGGATGCAATCGATCTCTCCTAGAAGAGGAAACTAGTTTTCGGAAAACGAATTCGAAAAAAAAATAGTTCAACTCATCCTAACCATAAATTCATGAACTTTCAAAATATTTTTCCTGATCTTTACTGCATTATGAGTAAATCGAAGGACTTTATCAGATTCAAAGAAAACATTTTCTCACCACCAAATGCTGCAAGCCTTCGACGTATTTTGAAGGAATAGACTTCAACTGGAAATTGTTGAGGTCCAAACTTCTTGCTCCAGCTCGAGCTCTGGCAACAGCTACCACTAGACGGTCCGTCTCGTTGTCAGTGTTATCCTCCATCACTCTAACGCAAGAAAAAAGCGAATTTTGGAACAAATTATGAACGGATTTCATTTAAAAACTCACTTAGCTAGCTGAGGGATTCCACGCACTAGCGAACGCGTCCCCTGAAATGGACTCAAGTCTGATGCTCAACGCTAAAAAGAGCTTGATCGATAATTCCGTTCCGGTTCACGAAGTAGAGAGGTTCAATACACACACACAAAGAAAACACGTCGGCATTAGCTTATTTCATCTCGATTTTTTTATTTCCAAAAGCGATAATCCCCAAACAGAAAGTTGGGAGTAGAACAGGGTTTCCTCAGGATCCTGGCGAATTCTGGCCCCCTAAACTCCGCCGAACTCCCATCGCGCTCCCGAAACCTCGGAGAAGCCACGCCAGGTTGCGAAGCCAAATCCACTCCACTCGCCCACAGACTTCTCCGAAATACCAACCACGAAAATAAAAACCCGCATGCTTCAGCACGCAGAAAAAAAAACCAAACGAAGGAACACGGACACTTTTCAGGGAAAAAACACGAGACGAACGCGCCGTCTCCGAAACGATAAGATACCAATATAAATCTACTCCGGATTGAACAGTAGCAAATGGATCACATTTCAGATTCTTCCCTTTTTTTATCACGCGAGCAGAAAAGTCTCGGGAGATACTAAATTCATTGCATCTTTCGCGAAACAACGAGGAAGGAGAAATAATTGAATCAAACAAGTACCCGCAAAAAATAGCAAGACGCAACACAGAAGAACCTCTTTAACTCCGTTTTCGAGGGCGCGAAGTGTGGCCCCGAAACTTGATCACGAGAGAAATTGGGGGAGTCCGGGGGCGAGCCCAGAATTCGATTAATCCAGAATCCACGCAGCTTCTTCTGTCGAAGCTTTTTTGCTCCACCCATTCCCATCTTCATTCTTCCTTTCATTAACGCTTCGTCGTAATCCCCCAATGCTGGTTTTTCCTTCTATTCTTTAGCACGAACAAAACACGAACGGAAAGGGAGACTCCACGCGAGCTTTTGTCTTCCGTTTTTCGATATCTCCATATTCACACTGCTCAGCGCTTCCTCGTTCCATAGGATTAAACAGACAAAAGAGGAGGGAAAAAAGACTCGAGTTCTTCGTCGCAAAAAAAGAACCTCTCGCGGAAAGTTAAAAGTTTACAACACAGAGAACCAAAGGGAGCTGCTGCTGAATTCAACAGATGAAGAGTGCAAAAGGCTCTGCCAGCTACGGTCCATTCACTCTTTTCACGATCTTCTTTTCAATTTACTGCGAAGAAAAATTAAAATTTTCTTCAGAAGATCAAAACCAATCAAAAAGCAGCGAGGCTCACGTTGGAAGCTGCGACTTCATCCTGATCTTCGCCTTGCTTTGTGTCTTCGTCGGCAGTCACACTATATGCCTTCAACACCTCATCCACTTGTTGGTCGATTGTCTTAGTTACAACTTTGAAGCAGTAACCCGTGGGCACTTGATCTCTCATCTGCGAACAAAATGAAGCGTGCGGAATGATGAAATCGTCAAATGACTATTTTGACTCACTTCATAGAAGACGCGACCCTGAGTTAGTATGATGCGCTTCTCAGAGTTACTCTTGTCGACACAATCCGTATGACGATCCTTGTGTCGCAGGGCGACAACGTCTAGGCCCCGATCAGTCAAAGCTCTCGCTAAAAAAAAAATTGAATGCTAATATGCATCACATATCGTACAACATGATCCTCTACCTAGACCACGCAGCATGCTGTCCACGACGATCTTCAAATCCTTCGGCTTCTTAGGCGAAGACATGATCTCTGGAACCTTGCCATCCTCAAGAATTTCCTGCAAAAAAAAATTAGAAATTGCGCCTAATCGCTGAGGAACAACTCTTTCGAAATTACCTCCGCTTGGGTTGCTGGTGGATGGCTGGTATCCCTGGGAACCCGCGGTTTGGCGGCGTACGCAGCGGAACCCCCGTAATAGCCTCCACGGAATCGTCCTCCAACTCCACGACCCCTTCCCACATAATTCCGGCCGTACCTTTTACCAGGCAAATGGAAAATTAATGACGTTATTGCGAAAAATTATTCTAGAGAGGAACGAAGAACACAGGAGACCCCTATTCAGATGAAATCTAGGAAGGTACGGAATCTCATCATTTCAGCATGCAGCAGTTGAACTATCGAATAATTCAATAGCTGCATTGCTTAACAGCATGTAAATTAAACAATGCCACATGCTTTCTTGCCATCGAATCTCGTTAGTTTTTCCGAATTGAAGACACGTGAACCAGTAATTATAATATACTGCACAATTGCTGGACAAGGTCATTTATGTCTTCCTGAGATGAGCACATTACTCTTTACGAAAAAAAATCTGGTCACAAATAAAATGAGAAATTTCAGGAAAATGAAGGAAATGTCACGAGGAAGCCATAGTAATGCGGCAGACAGCAATGAATTCGAGTTATTATTGGAAAGGTGATGAAAGTTGGTAGCTCGAGCTACTAATAGAGTTCGATAAATCTGAAATGATTTCCGGGGAAAACGTACCTGTTGTATCCGTAATCGTAACGAACAGGACGAGCAGTCGCTTCATTCCGGCTACTGCGCCCAGACTCGTCGCCAGTCTTCTCACCAGAATCTGTCCCAGCCCCATCTTCCCCGCCAGAACGACGGCTCTGGCCACGGGCGCCACGGCGACGCACAATCGGCTGGAAGATTTCCTCAATATCCTTCTCATTCTTTTTTGCTTCCTCCAAAAGTTGATCATACAGCCGAATCAAAATAAGCGCATCGACCGCTGCACAAAAAGACAAAAATGACAACAAAAACGCACGGGCGCCATTTGATCACATACCAGCGCCTCTCAACTGCGATTGACGCAGTGGACGATTGTCCCAGTTGGAAGAGACTTCAGAACGATCCAAATTCTTCCCGTACACGGCCTTCACCAACGAGTTCAGCCCACGAAGCGGGAGAGCTTCGTACGAATTATAGCTGCGCCGTTTAAAATCTAAAACACGATACAGGTCAACATTAGAAAAAAATTCAACGAACGTTTCCCCCTCCAATTCTCGGTCACCTCCTCGATTCGCATTCGGAAACAAGAAATCAGCCATCCCTCTGTAAAATTTGTCTTGAATCACACGCAAATCGACCACGTGCGAAATTCCATCAACTTTGAAATCAGCGTCCAACGCAGTGCTCAAAAACTTCAAGTCACCCGCAACATTGAACCCTGAAAAGAAAGTCATATAGACACGCACATTATACATTTCGTTCGTTGAATTAAAAATTGCAGTACCGATCTTCACGACTTTCGGGTTGTCCAAAAGCTTTCGCAATCCATCCACCAACACAGATGTGTTCTTCAATGCGATCACGTCGAACACATAAACTCCTTCCGGATGCGCAACTTGCAGCAGTGATACGATTCCACGTGTGAGTCCAGTGTCTGGTCTCAATTGCACATCGACTCCAACGCGCGGTTTCTACAATAAAAATCACTTTAGTTCTCACAACAGTTCAAGCAGACAGCTTTAGTGACATCACCTCGTTAAGAATCTCGAACGCCTCACTGCATTCATGCTCCTTGTCCACGAACTTGATGGTGCTTTCGTCAATTTCGAAGTCCATTACAACTCTGCCTTCTTTAGGCTTCAAAGGTTCTCCTTTTGCCTTTTCAAGATCAAAGCTGCGGAATATGCAAAATTACAAAATTTTCATTCAATGAACGACTCTGGCGAGGTAATAAACACAGCTCACGCATCAGTGACGGCTTTCAAGGCTTCCACGACGGGTTCAGCCATCTGATTTTCTTCAACTTTGTAATTCTCAGCCCAGTATTTGGCTTCTTGAGGTCGAGAATAGCGAACCAGCTCATCCACCAGCTCTTTCGAAATATCTGGATTCGCTTTGACGAGGTCGACGGTCAATTCGAACCAGTTAATGTAAGCTGAAAGGAGATTTCTCAAATCATTTCAGATCCACTGAAATTTTAATCGCAAAAAAAGGAACTGGAAATACGTCAGACTTACACAAATCGCCAGTCTTGAAACGTCGACGATTCAAGTAGTACAGTTGCTGCAAGGCGAAAAAATTCTTTATGTTTGGACACCAATCCAGTCCAAACTTGTATGTATCCCTCCAACTCAAAATCAATCGCACGAGGAACTGGCGACCCAGTCCCAAAACCCGTGGAACATTGTACTTCCTGGAACAGAAAGCACAGTCCAAAAAACTAGAAGGGGATGCAAAAACCCTTCTTTCACTCACTCTACTTCCGCATTCATGTCCTCATACGACATTCCAACCACCAAATCCATGTAGCGGATAGTTGATTCCAGGTAGAAGGGATTCTTCTTGAACATGTCTTCCAAAGGTTGAATTATATGCTGCACCAGCATTGGCGCGATGATCTGCTGCATTTCGAAATCCTTCTCAAGCTCGTTATCAAGTATTTCCTTCAAAGCCTGAAACCATCATACGACATTGTATGATGTCCACGAAAAGCGAATATAAATTTAACCCACGTCTCTGTACATATGGAACTTGAGAAGAGCTTTCACGAGTCCCTTCAGCTTCTCGGTCGAAACCTCGTTCAGCTCGAAAAGATCCTTCAGGAAATCCACGCATGGAGAATATTCAGAAACTTTGCTCAAGACATACGCGGCTTGTTGCAATTCATCAGTGAGGCAGTTATCTTTGACCTCCTCGCCGCGGAGAACAAGATCCAACGCACGCAATATCGGCACTTGGGAAATTAAAAAAGGTAGCTAGACAAAATTTCTAAATTTCAGAAGCGTCACACATCCACTTACTGAAGAGTTTCTCGGCATGATCGTACCCAACTGCCACCATAAGCATCTTGAGGGCAAGTTCGTAGGGATTCTTCCCCTCAGCTTCCTCATAATATTTGACCAATTCTCGAATAGCTTCATCGTGCTCTTCTTCGTCGACTTCTGTGAAAAATAAAAAGAGGTAAAAGAATTAAGAAAAAAAACTTAGATTTACAAACCAGTTTTGTGATCGAGCCGCTTCTTCAGCTTTTCCACCGGCCCCTGCAGCTCCAAAAATTCCTTGGCGGAGTAGACCTTCGGCAGGCGCTGACGACGGTTACGAGATAGGCGAGTCGGCGCTTTGGCATTCAACTTCTTGCGCGGAGACTTCGGCTTGGCTTCCTTGTCGCGCGGCTCAGCCGCCTTCGGGTTCCGCCGGCGGACATGCTGATCGTCGTCCGTCTCGCCGCCGGAACACTCACGAGCACTGTCCACCTCGTGCTTGTCAACCGCCTTCGTGTGCGAATTCGTACGTGGCCTCAGGCGACGCGGTCGCCTCATTGGCGCCTCCGCTTCGTGCTCTTGATCATGTTCGTAACGTCGACCGGGTCCTCCATATCGATATCCGCGATCACGGCGTTGATTCATCGGATTAACAACTCGTGGGTACCTAAGAAATCGAACATTTCCAATAATAGGTAAATTTCTAAAAATGAAGATCCTCGCGGGAACGAATTGAACGCGCATTCAGTGAAAACGAAGACTTGCAAAGGTCTTTCAAATTTACGAACATCGGGAAGATGCTTCCACCACTTCGAACTTCACGAAATTTAAAAAATAACCTGACAAAAACTAAAATGATTCATATGATCCATACGTAATGGGATATGATTTACGCAGCCTGTGAATCGCAGATTCGATTTACGGCGTAAAAGCACTGTATTAAAGAAACTGAAGCCTATTTTGATGAAAAATTAATTTTACCGTCGGCGTTGATCATAGCCTCGATCATGATGATCAACCTCCCTGTCAACTTCTTTCTCCACACGAGTGTCTTCGGCTCCGCGATCCTCAGTGGTGCGAACTCCTCCTCCTCGACGAACGACTCGTGGCTTGTATGTCTGTTCAGGCATTTTTCCTGAACAAAAGAGGCATCACGTCGATGTCATAACTTCACTTAAAACGCGAACTTACTTTCCTCTGGTTGTTATCTTGTATCCGAATGCTTGGATCGTTGTTAGTGGTACCACCGATGTCGTCTGAAATGCTGTTTACTGAAAAGGAAAGAGGATACGTTTGCATGACGTGCTTAAAATATGATATAGAAACCGGAATTGAGCAATTAGTTCAACGAGGTGCTTGACAACACCCCAAGCTCCCGAAGGAACCGAACTGATTTGTGTGTGGGTGACGTACAAATGAAGAGGACAAAATACATTATGACAGTTCATATTCAAGAACTCGCGATGACTGAAAATCCAGGAAACTTGATCGCGATCAGCACATCCGCCTGGAATGCCAAGGATTATGGCTCACATTTACGCCTGCAAAAGCAATTCGCTTGAAAACTCGTAGGGTTAAACATTCACATCATGAAGAGGACATAGGCTTTCGGGGTCAATGAACAAGCACCGTCTTACGAAATTGCCACGAAAATATGATTGCACTTCGATGAAGCTTTCAGCTATTGAGCATGCGACCTCATGTGCTGACAGAAGCGTTTAGTAAGTATCCTTTCTCTCTGATCACACCACGACCCTTGATCGTAACAGCGTATCTTAGAATCCAATCAATGTTGCAAGTTGCGTGGGAACCGAACGCCTCATTCTTAGTAATCAGGTTCCGCAAGGCTTCATTGGATAAAATTTCTGCGAACGAATTATGTATGGTCATCACTTCCAAAAATACACTTGACCATGAGGAATGAAGGGCTCACCTTGCGGGTCGTTATGAGTGAGCAACCGTATATCGTGTTCTTTCGCAAACTCCGTCATTTCAGGAGGCACGACGCAACATGATGCCAAGTTGATTTGCACTGTACTGGGCTTCACCTGCATGAAAATTTCGAGAGATGCAGTTAGCACAGTCGAAACCGCACCAGACATCTGGTAGGACCAGTTTCAAATCAAGTTTACGATTTGTTAAGTTGATAATACAGGTTCACTTCAAGTAAACAAGCCACAAGTGGATTGCTTACTAAGAAAACTGGTTTACCTGCGCCCACGAGAAAAGATCCTTCAATTCATCAGTCGTAATATCGCTGCAACCGATGGTCAAGATTTTACTCGACCGGACGAAGTTTTCCAGTTGCTGCCAACAGGGCTTCAGATGTGAATTTACGTTCTCGTTGCCAACGGGAATCGCTAGGATAACCGATTCCACAAAATCCAGATTCAAGGTTTCCATTGCTGAGAAACAAAAAAGGAACTGCTTTCAATGTCGCTACTGGATTACGTAATTAAATGTATCACCTGTAATTAAAGATTTCTCGACTCCTTCAACAGATGGTTTCACCAAGAAAATCTTCATAGAAACTTGAGTATCCTTCCGTTCGACAACCGGTAAGGGGTTACTCTCAACATTGCATGCGATCTATACGCAACGCATGAATTAAATACGCAGAACCGCATTCTGATATCTTTCACGAACTACCTCAATGTTATTTTGATGATTCTTCGGTTCCTTACAGTTCGTCAAGACGTATGAAAGAGACTCGTGGAGCTGAAAAAAAAAATGAATGCAGATACTGTACTTCAGCTGTCAACACAGAACACCACTTGCACTTACTTCGTCGGCACCTGATTGACCCGGCTTACGCTTCAAGGGGCTGAGATTCAGAAGATTCCCGGAGTGTATCGTCAAACACTTCGTCGACTTCGCCATTTGCCGCTAATTCCAAAGCTTGATGTACCTGGAAACCGATCGATCAATAAGAAATTAGAATTCAGTACTCCATTCGGAACAATGTTTAAACCAATTCAAGAAATCATAGCAAGTGCGCCAACACTCGGATACTTCTGACATCACTGCTTCCTTATTAAACACCAAAGCGGTCATGCTCATGTCTCAGAACGCCTTAATGATTTACAATACTATTCAAAATCTCGATAGGGTTGAAACACCCATTAGTGGTTTGAACGCATTAAAACAGAAATGTAGAAACAGTTGGTCATGACCAAATGAAAGGGTGGCATATTCAAACCATCACACAGAAACACGATTTCACGCACTATATTTGTCTGACATCATTCACGAAGTTCTTCCGCAATTCTCCACATGGATTGCTTTCGAACACTTGCTGAACAATGAACGGACTTATCCGAATATTGAGTTCATGTATAGTAGGAAAATTGAACGGCTACACTTGTCCTCAGTTCCTTTGCCTGAAAACCGGTGATAACTTGGGTATAGAGGGTAAATCGTCGATCAGGCTTTCCCAATTAGCCAATAATAATGATCATACCCATCACAGGGGGGATGAGAAACGTGAACCTTCATAGGTTTAAAGTATTGCATGTAGATTCTGATACCGAACTTGTGTGAACAGGGGTCGGACACTTCAAATTCCCAGCACACTGATTGCTCAGTAAATGCAGGTCATGAAATTCCAACGGATTCAACTCCAGCCTGGCCCTATACTTGGTTCATTGACAATTCGTTCAGCATGGAGCGCGCTTGCAAGCAGCAGACACAGACGACCGCTCAGGGGCTGCCGTGTTATGTTTAGTTCACTGGGTTTCCTGGTAATGGTTCAGTCGTTGAGCGAGAAGCATCCAACAGGCAAGGCAATGTGCGCGTCGTGAGAAGGCCCGCGTTTCTGTAGTATTCGCTTTTGTGCATGACTTTTTTCTCGTGTACGCAGGATGCTGTAAGCTCGCGCATGCGTTAAAATAACCGTGCTTATTAACTTAATATATGCTCTGACAGCTTGGTCATCCAAAGTGTACAGCATCTGGATGAGTCTGAAATGCTTCATACAAGTAATATACTGTAGTACCTACTACTCGGTACACCATTTTTATTTCCAGCAGCGCGGGCTAAAATGAATATCCGACGACGATGAGCGCGCTGGATATTCGCGGTGCGCGAATTTATTAAATCACGCACGTTTTCTCGCCCCAAAAGTAAAGAAAATGCAATCTTTCACCTTGTCCACGAGTCATCCTTGTTTTTGGAGGAAGTGAGTGTTTCTCATATACGTGCACGAAATTATTCAAAAAAGGTATTCGACGTTTTTCTTGAAATGGCGGACAAATTTAAAGACATTGCCCGTTTCACCAAAGCCTCTTTGGTTCCGCACTGGCGCATGTTCGTCATTATCCTCGCTCCTTTGTTACCAATTGGACTCTTGTCTGATCATTACGACGAACCGGTGAGTGGATATTACCTCATTTGTTCAAAATTGATTAATTGATATCGAGTCGGAGATCGTCGGGTTCAGATGATTTTGCTTTCGAATATGCGTCCTTCGTCATCAGGCTGCGAGATGTGCGTGGGGAGTAATAATAATGAGTGTTTACTGGATGACGGAAGCCGTGCCTCTTGTCATCACTGGGATGTTGCCTGTTCTCTTATTTCCGGTATTGGGGTTAATCGACACAGACACAGTGTCGAAACTGTACTTGACCAAGTCAAACATGCTGCGAATGAGTGAGTTATTATTATGCGCATTCGAGATCTCTGATAGATGATACTTATTTATATACTTGTTGCACTTCGAGTATCGAATATTGTTTCTTACTTCCCTCGCATCATACAGTACCTTTCTTCTTTTTTCAAAAAATCTCGAGATTTTTCCTGTTTTTTCTGCAGGATGCTGTCATTGATGCTGCAAGTTGCAGCATCAATGACAGCATATACATGCGAATAAATAAATAAACTCCTGAATACCGCAAAACTGCGAATCTAATTCCGGGGTGCTTCACCGCATATAACATCTGATGAAAGTAAGTCAATAAATAATATCATCACAGTATAATGGGCAAGAAGTATATACTGTAAGCAGTACAGTATTGTAAATCTAGACTGCAGAAGGACCCGGAAAAGCTCGTTACGAAAAAAAGTGTTTTAAACTGTACAATGACGAGATTCGTTCCTGAAGATTGAAACTTTTTTTCTGAAATGAATAATGAAATGAGGTCCACATGGATCTCATTTATACTCGAGGTACTGAGTATATATATCTTCAAATCCTTTTTTAAATTTATGAATTGTCATTGAACTTCGAGTGCATGATATCTTGAGAAACACAACTCATAACATTTCCCAATGATAATCAACAGCTGGTCTCATGGTTGCTGTGGCGATTGAAAACGTTGGCCTCCACAAGAGAATTGCTTTGCGGATCCTGTTGCTAACCGGAACTTCACCTCGGAGGTGAAAATTTTCCGCGAGCGTATATTTACTTTGTAGTTTTGCCGAATCACTTCGTCCTCGAGCAGTGCGAACGATTTTAATAATAATCAACGAGGACAGTGACTCACGCGGAATTCCCGTTCTGGAGGAATGGAAGACATGCTCAGCTTATTGTACTGTACTGACGATTCGATTCCTCAACTTTCTCTCATTTCCTCTTATGGCGTCCTTCGTCTTAAAAATCTTGAAATTATTTTTGATCTCACGTAGGTGTCGCTCGAATATTACGAAATTGAGTACTCAATCCGCACTTATTGAAGCGTTAGTCCATGTAAAGTAATTACTTGATAGATGAGCCGTCGTCACTTTGCTTTAATCGTTCTTATGTTATGTGTTTCGCAAGATTTAAAAATATGGGGATGGTTTAGGATTATGCTCGGATTTATGCTGGCTACGGTGCTGATCTCAATGTGGATCTCAAACGCAGCAGCATCAGCAATGATGGTTCCCATAGTTCAAGCCGTTTTGGAGGAAATCTACGAAAAACACGTTGAAGTCAGTTGAATGTTATTCGATGCAATCGGAGTTTAAGCATTTTTTTGCCGCAAATATAATTGTGAAATATGCGTACGAATCAGCAGCAGAAAGCCACGGAAGATAAGTCCATTTTGCCAAGAGTTGCGGATGGACTCTTTTCCCATCACACGGACTTCCGGGATGAAGCTCGAGCATCGGAAACAGAAGTTAGTGCTTATTCGCGACAGGTTGTGCAAATCCCGACGAATTGCTGTTCAGAAGTAGATGTTGAGAAGCCCAGTGAAGAAGTACTGAATCCTGTTTCCATGCGGTAAGGAATCAAGTAATGTGTATACTGTACGTGCAAATTGCTTTTTCCCTGCTTATTGTTGGGGAACTTCCCTCTGCTAAGTGCACCTGCCGCAAATATATTTTCCTGCGTCTACATATGTACAGTAATATACACGTGTTGGCATGCAGGAAGTAATTTCTGCAGGGTAAGAAATGTAAGATGTTCTCATGTGCTTATACACGAACTTATAGCTTGGATGGCAGCAGGCTCCTTTCCATCCCAGGGCAATGTTGGGATTTCTTTGCACACAAGCGCATGTAAATTTGCCCGTGGTTCATCAAAAAAGGCCCAAGTTCGGAAAAATCTGGGAGTAGAAGTTTTTCTTATTAGCTTTATTTGAATTTGACTCATGCTGAGGATCAACTGAATCAGCAATTGATGAATCCGAGAAGTTTAGAAACGGTTAACGCATGATTGGAAGTTTCAAATATGATAGATAAATTTAAGGTCGATATGAGTCTCGTCTTATTATTGACCTGAAACGGAGTTTTTCTTTTCGTTTTTCTGCGTGGGTGCGTCACTTACAACCTTTAATTCATTATTATTATTTTCAAATTTTTTCAGGGATGACGTGAAGAAGCAGTATCACAAAGCAAGAATAGGAAACCTCATTGCTGTTTGTTTTGCTGCAAATTTGGGTGGAACCGGAGTCGTCACCGGTTGTGCGCCGAATTTAATTCTCCTCGGTATCCTTGATACGTAAGAACTATCTTTTTTTTTTAATACCGTCTTAAGGGGAGGAAACAAATTCCTCGTGGCTCTGTTTTTTTTTTCAAAAGATTATACGAGTCAACGCAACTTAACTTTGCAACTTGGATGCTGTTCAACATCCCTGGGATGCTCATAAACGTCTTCCTCGGTTGGCTGTGGCTGCAAGCTTCATTTTTCAACTTGAGGTGAGCTTAAAATCGATGAATATTTAACGCAAACGCTCATATATACAGTAATGTATGGATCGTGGGAGTCCATATACATACTGTTTCATACTTTTTAAAAATTGCGTAAAATGCTGATGATGTGGTGCTGCAATGAACTTATTCGTATTTTTGTTTATAGAGTCGAGGATGTTGTGAGACTGTTTAAAAAGCAGCAACGTGAAACAGTGTCGGAGGACGTTCGGAAGCGGTGGGACGACGAAAAGGCGTCGCAATCCAGAGCCAGAGACGTTATTCAGCGTAGACACGAAGCCTTGGGCCCGATTCGATTCGAAGAAGCCATAACGCTGTTTTTGTTTGTGGTTTTGGTGGCATCTTGGATTTTTCGTGCCCCCAGATTCGTCACAGGATGGTCAGCTTGGTTTGAAAGGTATATCGTCTATAAGAGAAAAGAAATTGACGTGTAGTATTTTTATAGCAACCCTATACAATAATTATGTGTTTTAAACTGTGTTTTTGTGCGGATAAGGAGCTTTTTATAGAATTCATAACCTCATTCAAGAACTAATTTATTTCGCACTGAAAATTTTTTTAGAGATGAAGAAAAAGGGGATCTGCCAAAAAATCTTTCGACTTCAACGTGAGCTGACTATTGCCGCCTGAGGCATGCTTATCCTAGTCCAAGAGAAAACGTTTGAAAAGTGCAGAGAATATTGTTGTTGAGCAAAATTACTCAATATTTTCGATCTAATAAATCCTTTTTCGAAGAATGTATTTGCTGGAGCCGCAGTTAATGAAATGCACTTTCGTATTATAAATACTGTGAAGGGCTCCTCATGAATTTTAAACAGCGTCAGGTTGATACCATCATTTTCAGAAATACAGATAAATGGTCATATATTTGTCTGCAATTTAAAAGAGGAAATTCCTTTGAACATTCGAACGCAAATTCTAAAATATTCACAGTAATTCTGCTGGGAACTCTTCAAAGAACTGTGCAATTATGTTATTGTGCATCCATTTCTCTTGCAGCTCGTTGTTCCTTATTCATTCTTCATAATTTTCTTTTCTTTTGCAGAGATGTCAGTGAAGCCACACCCTGTGTTCTGATCATCTTCCTAATGTTCATTATTCCGAGAACTCCATCGAATCCGTTCAGTTCTACACATCAACCATCAGAAACATCCAAAGGCCTGCTCACGTGGCAGATTATTCACGAGAAGATGCCGTGGAACGTCATCATCCTGATGGGTGATTTTTCGAGCCGAATTTGCATTTTAATGGATCGATTCAAGTTTCCTACCTTAATTTCGAAAATGACGAAAAAATGGAAACTTTCATGCTTTATATTAAAGATTGAGCAAGAATAAGGAGAAAAAAAACTATGCGTGTAAGCGTTAAAAAACGTTCTAAAAGCGCTTTTTCATGCATGCACCAGGTGGAGCAATTGCAATGGCCGATGTGTGCAAAACCAGCGGGCTGACGGCTGTGCTAGGAACGCAGTTTGCCAAAATTAATTTTCTCTCTCCCGGCTGGTTGCTGTTGTTGATGACGACATTGACTGCATTTTTGACTGAGTTGGCCTCGAATGCTGCCACTGCCAGTATTATTCTACCGATTCTGAATTCCATGGTGAGTGGAATGTTGATCAATTACGTAGTGCAGTATTTCGAGACCAGCAATACATCAGAGAAATCAACTTACTAGCATGCATGACATGTAAATTATTATCGAGTCGGTCATTCTTCCGTTCTGCATCGCTTTGACTGCATTTTCAATATGTCAAAATTCGCATATTTATTCGAGAGCAGCGGCTGAAAAAAAATAATTTCGATGGTTTTAATTATCAACTTTGAGAAGAGTTTTGCCGAAACAACGAACTGATTTGTTTATTCAAATCATGAGCTTTGTTTAATTGCTACCGTTTGATTTTTTTTTCCTAGGCCGCTCACTAATACTGTGAGCAGGGAAAGTTTGAGTGCTAATAATGTTATTGCTGTGCATAAATAAAGCTACTGCTGTATTTTGTTTTCAGGCTAGAGAGCTGAATATTCATCCCCTTTACCTGATGCTGCCTGCAACAATAACAACTTCCTTCTCCTTCATGCTTCCGGTGGCTAACCCACCGAATGCTATTACTTATACCGCAGCAGGAAATATGAAGGTTTCAGATATGGTGAGTATTTGTCAGCATGAGGAAAGTTTTTGAAAATTCAAAGTGAGAGCGAAAAATCGAGATTTGTTTTCACGCGAGTGCCTACATTTGCGTGACTCCGTGATTTACGTTCAAAGTATAGGTGTCGCATGAATCATCATCTCCTCGTCCAAGTTCACACGTAAAATACTGCACAGAAAAATCTTTTTACAACGAAATCTCAGGGAGCGAAGAAAAAAAAATGGCGTTCTGAAAAATTCGTTAGATTCATGGTTCTTTGAGCATACTCTTATGTAGGAGTGCAATTTTCTGGGGACGTAGGCGATACAGTACATATACAGTATATGCTTCAAAGCACTTATTTCACAACATATATTTATAAAGCGAAGAATTTCCCAAATTTCTGAAGTACGAGAATTTAGATGAAAACAGAGAGAAAAATTAGCTTTTCCCATATTATCGGTAGATATGGGGAAAATATCTGTGGCCCATGCACTCTTGATCAAAAAGCAAAAATTAGTTATACAGAACTGAGATTATATAGATGAAAATTACTTTTTATAAAAATAAATTGTGTAACATTGTTTTTTTGTGCAACGGATGATTAATTGGAAGTTTATTAATCGTGGTATATTTCGCAGGCAAAGGCAGGTTTCTTGATGAACATAATCGGAATACTTGTGCTGAATATTATGACCAATACGTACGGCACTTTGGTATTCGACTTCAATCACTTTCCAACGTTGATTGCTGATGATTCCACGACTACCTCGTCCACAACCACCTTGGGAACAATTTTGAGTGTTGCTAATTCTACTGATTCCCCGAGTTTGTGACATCGATTTAACAATATACAGTACAGGGTGTTAATTTACAATATAGAGGGTGGTATACTGCTTTTTGACTTGAAATAGCTCAGTAGCAAATTGAGCTGTGGCAATGAAAAAAGCACCAAATGAAAGCTTTTTCACGTATTCTCTTTCAAATGGGATAAAGTTTTATGGTCCCAAGTGCCACAGATGGTCACAAGAACCATTTGAATGAAAACTTTCAACAACAAAAGTTGTCATGCAACTTTTTCCTCTAAGCTGCTGTTATGGAGAGATGTTTGCATCAATAAAGGTAATGCATGATGTGCAATAATGTAGCCAGCAAACTTCATGCTGTCTTGGAGAGCCTGCAAATGCTCCCAAAATTCAGGGAGAGGGGTTGAAAAGGGGGAAGGAAATCGGCAAGATAGGATATTGCAGAGCTCTTGTAGTGCATGTGTGCTATGGGTGCTGGCCTCCAGGCTCATCCCAGTGACCAACCAGATTCACTTTTTTTTTTCTGGATGACTGGATTGCAGAAACTGATTTTAAGTGGAAATCTTTTTTAGTTAAACTGATATGGAGTGAAACTCAAAATCAGTTTGATTCAAGTTGAGTTTCAGTTTAACTCAAAATGAATTCAAGTTGAGTTTCACTCAACTGATTATGAGTGAAACTCAACTTGAATTAACAATAAATCAGTCCAGGCAATAAGTTTAATTCAAAATCATTTTCACCTAAGATCACTTTATTTAATCCAGAAGAAAATGTGAATCTGGTTGGTCACTGGGAGCTGTAAGGCCAGCGCCCAGCAGCACATGTGCATGATGGGGGCTCTGCAGCATTCTATCTTGCTT